GCCATTGCTATTAGGTTGGAGGCCATCGCTAGTAGGTTGGAGGCCATTAGGTTGGAGGCCATTGCAATCGAGCTCACTGAGCCCACTGCCGATTGGCCACACGATGCATCGTGGCTGCTCGAGCCTGCCAAATAGTGCAACAGGGAACGGTTTAATCCTGGCGACCTACGGCGCAGCCAAGGACCCATTAGCAAGGACGCTACTAGGGGCTACTGGCATCGCCACTAGGAGCAAGAAGCTACTAGGGGCTCCTGGCCTTACTACTAGGAGCAAGGGCGCCACTTCTTCTTTAGGCGCTAAAGGCGGAGAATTGGTTGTCTGAGCACTGGACAATTAAGGGAGCGCTAAGCCTCCGAAAGGCCTGCTCACGTTCATGCTGTTCACGGACATATTTTGGTTCGATAAACAACCACAAGAATGATAAAACCAATTCTTTGTCGGCTTGGCCTTTGTCGGTTCCTTTTCCGCACTTCGAATACTAGAGGTTCTCATCGGGGATACTTTGTCGTCTCCTTCCTGGCTCCGATTGGACTTCAACTGAAGTGGGTACATTTTCGGTGTTTGCCATGAAGGTTTGCCACTTGCTTTGTTCAAAGAGACTCTAGGATACGCTCAGGCCAGGGCCACTTCAATTCCACCTGGGAGCGCCCGACTGGAAAACAAGAAACAGCGAGAAGCAACGACAGCCGGTCAACCTAGACCCAACCCATGTCTGCCAACTGCAAACGCTGCGACGCAACAAGCTACACCATAAAGTCTCACACCCGGGCCCCAGCCAGAACACGCAAAACAACAAAGTGAACTAACTTCTACTAGGAGCAAAGGGCATCGCTACTACGAGCAAGAAGCTACTAGGGGCGCTCCTGGCCTTACTAGTAAGAAGAAGCTACTAGGAACAAGTGCATCGCTTCTAGTAACAAGTGCCTTACTAGTAGTAACAAGAAGCTACTAGGGGCTCCTGGCCTTACTAGTAACAAGAAGCTACTAGGCACTCAATGCATTGACTTCTCCCGGTTCTCAATTTGCAATGTCTTTGCGGCTGTACCTTCTGTGTCACCGTTGGGGTTGAGCCTGACATTGACTTTGTCTCAGCTACAAAGCGTCAAAAATGACTCGAAACGAAGACAAAACTAGAAGAAACGACAATGGTTTGTAGATGAAAAAACATTAGGTTGGAGGCCATTGCTCTTAGGTTGGAGGCCTTCGCTATTTGGTTGGAGGTCATCCCTAGAAGAAACAACAATGGTTTCTCGATGCACAGCTAAAGAAAAAGCTCAATTTCCAGGCCTCATCCGGCGCGCCTCAAGACATGCCTTATGCGGTTCCGCAAAGCAAAGCAAAAGCGAAGCAGTGAAGCGAAGCGGTTGGTTCTGGCAACTTGAGAGAGTCCCTCAAAGAGACAAGCTTGAAGAGACTTTAAAAGGCAAGAGACTTGAGTACTCTTGCCCGCCCTTGCTTAGTTAAGTAGGTAATAGGTTCCTAAGCCTAAGCTACCATAGCTACTGGACACAGGATAGCTCTTGCTTCTTCTAGGAAGCTCCCCGGGCCACCCTAAAAGCGGCGGGGGCAGCTTCCTTGAAGAAGTGCTCGCACTATTCATTTGGTTCCTAGTAGCTTCTTGCTCCTAGTAGGAAGGCCAGGAGCCCCGTTCGTAGCGAGCCTTGCCCCTAGTAGGAATGTTTAGGAACAGAGACGTAGGCGCACTTGAAGTACTCGTCAGTGCGTCAAAGAGTGATTTGCGACGTAAGGGACTCGTCTTCCTCTGAGACTTCGCACTTTGAGTCGAGGCAGAACCTGTGAAAAAAATCGAAAAGAACCCAGCTACATTCTTTGTCTGCTTTTTGTCTTTGACTCAAAGAAAAGTGTCACAAAGAATTTTGAACATTGTAATCCGATCTTTAGGGGATAGTGACCTCTCAGTGGACATTCAGAAATCTCATTGAAACACACAAAACGTTTCGCAGCAGTGGTTTCTTCTCTACAACGTCTGCGCGCTACTTGTACAGCATCACGCGTCTCTGACATGACTCACTTATGGCAAAAAAATGGATTTGACTGCCGTAATGGCACACAAATTGCGCTATCAGTGCGCAAGGCCATGCCGTGGCAACTGCGGTCAGACTCAGCTTCGGAATCTGATGCTTCCAAAAGGAAAGACTTGGTCCATTCTCCCAAGCTGCTTTTCAAGAGCTCTTATCTACCGAATTGGTCTAAAGCATCTTCACATCGCAAACCGCAGACCCGTGACATCCACATCTACACCTCAATGTTTGTGGTTGTCTTCCATGCCTTAGATATGACAGGCGTTCCCTGTCAAACTGCCACAAATCAAAACAGCCGCAAGTGTATCTCCAATTTGGATCAGTTGACTCCGATTTGTCAAAAAAAACAACTGGGGGTGTCTCACAATGAGCAAAGGAACGGCTGCATCAATACGTTTCATCATTGCCTTGATCTGCTTCATGGGCCCACATTCATAGAACCTAAGATTGTCACTGGTATTTGAATTCACGCAACCATTTTCCAAAGAAACGCTGTTCACGTTGCCTGAAACGTGTCGGTTCTCACGCAGAAAAAATGCAATTTCATTGATGGGATTCGAAGGTTTCCAAGTGGCTCTTTGACACCTTCCCTGATAATTGCCTTCATAGAATCTTCCCAAAGGACCGGGTTAGTCAACTGCCTGGAACACGTAGCAACCGGCAGCAACTCTGCGTTCAGCCGTTTCGGACATTCAAGCGGAAATTGTGGAAACGAGATGAGACCATGTGCGCTGCGCACAGCTGGCTTCAGTACAGAAGTGGACTCCAACCTGGTAGCGATGGCCTCAAACCTAGTAGCGATGGCCTCCAACCTAGTAGCGATGGCCTCCAACCTAGTAGCGACGGCCTCCAACCTAGTAGCGATGGCCTCCAACCTAGTAGCGTTGGCCTCCAACCTAGTAGCGACGGCCTCCAACCTAGTAGCGTTGGCCTCCAACCTAGTAGCGTTGGCCTCCAACCTAGTAGCGTTGGCCTCCAACCTAATACTGATGGCCTCAAACCTAATAGCGATGGCCTCCAACCTAGTACTGATGGCCTCCAACCTAGCAGCGATGGCCTCCAACCCTATAAGCGATGGCCTCCAACCAAGTAGCGATGGCCTCCAACCAAGTAGAGATGGCCTCCAACCTACTAGCGATGGCATGGCCTCCAACCTACTAGCGATGGCCTCCAACCTACTAGCGATGGCCTCCAACCAAGTAGAGATGGCCTCCAACCAAGTAGAGATGGCCTCCAACCAAGTAGAGATGGCCTCAACCCTATAAGCGATGGCCTCCAACCTACTAGCGATGGCCCCCTTGGCTTCAGTACAGCAGCTGCTCGAGTTGTGCCCTGCCTTTTCAAGAGTGCAACGATCTCGGCCGGGTCGCTGCCAGGTCGAATGGGTTGTGCCGAGGCATTCATCCAAACCTAACAAGTTCCGAGCCCATCCCGAGACCATCCCGCCCCGTTTTAGGCATACCCACACTATGTTTTGAGCGTCCTCTTACTTCTGAATCCTTCTTGCTATCATGCACACAAACGACTCTAGCTATTGCATTGTCTCCGTCACGCAGACGTTTCGATCCCGAACTTCCTTTGATGATGCTCTATATTATATGGTTTGTTTGATTGTATTTTTTGTTGATTCCTTCCATCCTTTCTGAGGACGAAACTGAAAAACATTGAAGAACCACAAATCAAATGGTTTTCTCACGAGGGCATTTCTTCCTCTTTGGCTGCCGCAACACTGCGGCACTCGCAACTGCACAAGTGTAGCTTCTTTAAACATTCTGTTTGCGCAGCAAGCTTGACATGAGTCACGACTCGCAACCAAAAGGAACAAGAGAGAAAAGGAGAATCTCAAAAAGGAACGCCATCGCTATTAGGTTTAAAGGGACCAACAAGGGTCTGAAACCGCTGATGTATTCTGAGTTGGGGTCTGCGACACTATTTGTAGCGCGGTCCCCAAGCAAGGCTTCGCAAGGCTTTGGGCTTAGCGCTTCGAAGTCGGCAAAGCCAAGGGCACATGGTGTCGCTATTCTGTAGAAAAGTAGGTTGGAGGCCTTCGTCACTGATTTCGTGGTTCAACAGGTACAAGTTCAGGTTCTGGCCCCTAGAATTTCATGCCAGAACCTACAAGGACGCTACTAGGGGCTCCTGGCATCGCTACTAGGAGCAAGAACGCTACTAGTTGCTCCTGGCGTCGCTACTAGGAGCAAGAAGCTATTAGAAACAAGAATTACAATTAGAATTGAATTAGAATGTATGTTACCCAATTCGATGAAGCGAGCTGAAGCGGCCAAGCGTTTAAGCCAGGTCGCCGTGTGCAGTGGCGGCTTCATGTTGGGCAAGGTTTCTTCCAAGGCCGCTGAGAGCCGGTCCTGCCGGCTTTGTGCCGAGTGCCACCGAGTGCGGCCCGAGGCTCTTGGCACAAAGAATTCCTTCCAGTCTTAGAGAAAGAAAGGCATTGTGAAAGGAATTGAAAAGGAATGAAAAGAAGAAAAGAAAGAATTGAAACGAAAGGAATGAAAGTCATTGAAAAAGAAGTTCGTAAAAAGGAATTGAAAAGAAGAACATTAATAAAGAAAACATAGAGTCTATAGAGAGAAGGAAGAATGAATTTGAGTCGAGGGAGACTGCTTCCTTTCCTGTCCTTCTATTGTGCATTTTTCTGTTCTTTTACATGTTTTGGTAGATGAACTTGCATCCTTTGCTCCCTTGTTCCTTCCTTTCTTCCTTCCCCTTGCCAACCTCTAGCCCCTTCCTGCATCATCCGCTTGAAAACAGGCACTCTTTTTTCTGACTTTCTCTCTCCCTCCCCCTCTCCCCCTCTCCGTCTCTCTCTCTCTCTCTCCTGTGCCGGTTGCATCAAAGATGTGTGAAAGGCACCAGCTGTCTTCAGGATCTTGGCCTGACAGGTTTCTCAATTGGCTCCCCCCCTCCCTCCTGCGTCCATACTAGTAGGTTAAGTAAGGTACTAGTGTGGACGCAGGATAGCTCACGCTTCTGCGCGTTTCGTGTAAATCAACTCTTGCGAACTCCAATTGTTCCGATCTTCTCCTGAAGAGCTCCATTCTTCTCCGCCAAATCTTTCAGTGTGTTGATCGCCTCAACAGTCCAACCCTATAGAAAAACAACTTTAAGAAACCTACTAGCAATGGCCTCCACCCTACTAGTCACTAGCGATGGCCTCCAACCTACTGGCGATGGCCTCCAACCTAATAGCGATGTTCTAAAAATCGGTTTCAATTTATATAATTCACAGAGATTTCACAGTGTGATTTCACAGTGTGTTTTCAAGGCATTCAGAAGAACCAATCCAAGCCTGCTCTGTCCCTCCAACTGAGAAGCCAGAGGGAAATAGGCAGTTTGCAACGGAGCAAACACCTCCGGCCTTCAAAAGAGTGCTAAGCCACGAAGCGGACGAAATCGTAGCTTCATAAGTCCTCTCTAGATGACTCTACTAGGAACAAGATGGAACCAGGACGTTACGAGTAGCTCCTGGCCTTCCTACTAGTAACAAGAAGATACTAGGAGCAAAGGGCATCGCTACTAGGAACAAGGACGTTACTAGTAGCTTGCTTACTCATTTCTATGCCTGTTTCTGCATCCCTTCGGTTCCCTTCAGTTTTATCTTCGGTTCACCGTGCCTCCTTGGCTGCGGCTTCTTTGCAAAGAGGTTCCAGTTTTGCTCGTTCCAGCCCCGCGACAGAGAGCATGAGTTGTTTCTTGCTCCCAGACCTGGAAACAGCTGCATTTGGTGTACAGGTCTGGCATGCTTTGCATTGGCTTTGCATGCTTTCTGTAGCCCTGCTATCACCGCCGTCGCCATATAACATGTTATAACATCCTCATCAGTCCGTCAGCAAATAGTCTTCATCATATTGTCAAAGAAAAACAACGTGGGCAAACAAATGACACAGGGTGGAGGACGGCCAAACAAACAGCTCTTACAGTATCACGGTTGTTGCAAAGCTGAGGCCACCAAAGGTGTCAATGGGGGAGGGTCGGTTGGTGAGGTTTACCGATTGAAAGAGTAGTTACATTTTGAGAATGACCTTCATGACCTTCCTAGTAGGTTGGCCTCAAACCTAAGAGCGATGCCCTCCAACCTACTAGAACCTACTAGAACCTACTAGCCTTCTTGCTACTAGTAGCGATGCCAGGAGCCCCTAGTAGCGTCCTCGCTCCTAGTAGTAAGGCCAGGAGCTAGTAGTAGCTTCTTGTTACTAATAGCTCAAGTTGGAGGTCGAGGGGCGTGGCTGCTTCCTGCATCGCTTCACCTCGAAGCTTCACCAACTTGAGCCCATCCTCGAAGCTCATTACCCCGGCCGCACAAAGCGCGGTATATTCGCCTGGTGGGAAAAAAGATCTCAAAAAGGTTACGCGAAATAGTTGTGTTTCCTGTAGCTTCTTGTTACTAGTAGTAAGGTGCCTTGTTACTAGTAGCTTCTTGCTGCTAGTAGTAGTGCCACGAGCTACTAGCAGTTTCTTGTTACTTATTACTATTACTACTATGAACAAACTTCCTTTGGTTTGCTTTCTTTTCTGTCCGACAACAAATGCTTGCTTGCTTGCTTTCTTGTTTGCTTGCTTGTGTGGGCCAAAAAGTGATCTGCCTAATGACAAGCCGGCCATAACAGATGCCCTGTCGACGGCTTCTGCTCGTTCTTCTCGAAGCTTTTCCAAGCCCGCCAAACCACCAATAAACAATGCAGGCTGACAATATCGCGTCTCCTCAAGCTTGTCTTCCGGTCCATTCAGGCAAATATCCAGGATGTCGTAGCCCAACACTGTCTTGGACTTCTCCAGCATGTCTTTGACAGCCGGAAGATCCTTTGCCTTTTCAAGCATCTTCACCTTCGGATTCTGGGAACAAAACGAATAAAGCAAAAAATTGAGTTCAGCACCAACAGAAAAAACAAACATCAAAGAAACAATAAGCTTCTAGTAACAGGTGCATCGCTAGTAGTAACAGGTGCCTTACTAGTAGTAACAAGAAGCTATTAGAAACAATAAGCTACTAGGAACACGTGCATCGCTAAAAAAAAGACGTGCTCAAAAAGTTCAGGCCACATACTGTGACCCCTGACCGGGGAAGAACAGTGCAATCGGGAGGGGAGCCTGACAATGACGTGTTAAACAGAGCAAAAGGAACTGTTCAAACTGATAGGAAAAGGCAAATGAAATACGTCAAACGTTCAATAAAAGATCAAATGAACGTTCTCATGGGAACACATTGAAACACATGCAAAAGGAATCAGGCAAAAGCCTGTTTGATATGCCTTACTACAACGGCCGTTGCCTTGGTTTTCTTTACAAAAGAACAATTCTTCGCTCCTCGTTCTTGGGACCCACAGCCGTGGGTGGCGGGCTCGGACCTTTGTCTGTCTTCACAGCCAAGTCCTTGTCCTTGAGCTTGATGCTGACCTGAAGCGAGTAGGAACAAGTGCCTTACTAGTAGTAACAAGAAGCTACTAGGAACAAGTAACAAGAAGCTATTAATTTAAAATTAATTGAAATGCTGACCTGAAGCGACTCCGGACCGTTGGAGGCCATCGCTCTTAGGTTGGAGGCCATTGCTAGTAGGTTGGAGACCATTTCCATCAGGTTGGAGGCCATCGCTATTAGGTTGGAGGCCGCAGAGCACACTTGGTGAAAGCTTGATGCTGACCTAAAGTGACTCAAAGTGAAGAACTCTGCAGCATGTCCTACACGTCACATCTTGTCATAGCACAATGCTCCACAGTCACGCATGATCCCGCTGTTTCAGGAAACTTCTCCCGGGAGAACCCAACATCGGATGAAGTAGCTCCCTTCTTACTGATAAGCTTACCTTACTTGTTTACTAGTAACAAAGGGCATCGCTACTGGGAGCAAGGACGCTATTGATTAGTAGCTCCTGGCATTACTACTAACTAGGAACAAGAAGCTACTAGGTTGGATGAAGTAGCGTGCCTTTTTGCTTGCTTACTTGCTCACTTCCTACCTACCGACCTACCTACCTACCCCCAACGTTCAATTGGTTTTGTATGAAAGCAAGACTCGTAAGACTTGTTGCGCCTGAGGCATGGACCCAGCCGGTTTGTGGCCCAGTGCCGGTGACAAGTTTATAGTTCAAGCGGTCGCCCTTCAATTCAACCTCTTCCACCAATGCCCCCGTCGAGAGTCGATCGTCCAGCTGATTGGACTTGGTATTCTCTCCATCCCTTCGGCAAAAAGCCAAATCAGAGAGAAACAAAAAATGCAGAAAAGACGAGTTTGCAACCTACTAAAGTTGGCCTCCAACCAAATAGAAATGATTGTTCTTGATGTGTCTTTTCTTCGGAATTGTCTTTGTTCCGGCACAAGAAGTAGCACATTTCCGCTCACATGGTATCCCGAGTCGGAACTGTGAAGTTGAAAAACAAGGTCACTTGACCAGTGTCCGGCGTTGTCAAAGCTGAAGAAACTTGGACAAAACCAGAAGGATTCTTTTTGACATGTAACAAGATGTAATTCTTTTCAATTTGCTCGCTCCAACGGCCTCACAATGATGCCACCTTTGTCTGCTCCTCCCACAATCTCCCACATCTGGACCATGGCTCCGGCACAGCCTTTCTACTCAAAATTTTGGGCACTAGGTATGGACCTGGCTGGAAAAATCGCTCCGGTACAGTGACTTGTTTCACGAGTGCCAGAAAGCGTTCAACTGAAGCAGCTAAAGAGCAGCGGCTCCTGGTCGCGAAAAAGCTCCTGGTAGCTACTTGCTCCTAGTAGTACGGCCAGGAGCCCCGTTCGTAGCGTCCGATCGCTCCTAGTAGCGATGCCAGGAGCCCCGTTCGTAGCGTTCTAGTGGCAGCTTCTTAGCAAAAAGCAATTCCTCAGTGGCGTGAGACGCAGCGGGAAGCAGACGCCCCAGCAGCCCCAGCCTGCTGCCCCATTTCTTCTTGGAGAGTGGTTCTGAGGGCCTCTTTCGACTTCAAAGCCAGAAGGATAAGCTGTCTTTTTGATTTTTAGCCCAAGGCCCTACCCTCCGAGTTAAGTAAGGATCTAAGCTACTAGGCTAAGTTAGCTGGAAGGAGAGGCTAGAGAGACATCTGTCCGACGCCTCTGACAGGACCACCTTGACATCTTCAATGATCGGCAAGAGAGCCTCAGAGCCACGAGAGCCGATCGTCCAAGAAGCAACGAAGCATCGCTCCAACCTGATAGAAATGGCCTGCAACCTTCTAGCGATAGCTTTCATGGCAATCAACTTGACATCGACAATGCAACTTGGCCTCCTTCAGCGCATCTTTAAGTCTCAATGCATCCTGTCCATAAAAACGACTACCGGTAGTTTGCTTCAACTCCTACTGGATCTGTGTTTTCTTTACTTGCATTATGTAAATCACAATGTGCAGCGAACATCGATTGACTGGAAAAAGGCCTCACCGCCACTGGTGGTTTGTGGCCACATTGGCCGTTCACCTTGCAAACCGCACGTCGAAGTGTCGCACCCAGAAACTGCAACAGTTGCACCTTCACTGGCAGCTCGCGACCCGCAGCGGCGAAAGGACAAAAGATGCAAATAGTTTGAGTGGATCTTCTGTTACTACTAGCGTGGCACTTGTTACTAATAGCTTCTTGTTACTACTAGCGATGCACTTGTTACTAGAAGCGATGCACTTGTTTCTACTAGCTTCATGTGTTCATTTGTTCAAGTAATTCGACTAAAACGACCTGTGAGAAAACTCCAACATGTTTGTATCAAGAGTGGCATGGGTCCAATGTACCCTGGAAACCGTAAACTCCATTTTAATATGCACAGCTTCCCTGCTGAAAACGGCGAGGACACAAAATGCAACTCTCGGCCGGCAATTTGTCACTTCAAGCCACCAACCTACGTTCGCATAAGGAACCTCATGGCCTCCAACCTATGAGCGATGGCCTCCAACCTAGCAGCGTCCAACCCAAGAGCGATGGCAATGGTGCATAGGCAGGTTGCATGGCATGTCATTGTTGCAACTGTTGTGCTTGTTGGTCGGTTGGATCGTCACCAGCACGCTGCCGCAAAAAAAATGAACGCTGGAAAAGGCATTGCCACCAAAGAGGTATTGACATTGACCTACGTTAAATTCGCACAATGAGTCGTCTTGCTGATCTGGGGCAGAACCCCGAAAACACACTTGGATGAGACGGGAATGTAGCACCGTGTGAGGAATCAAAACATGAGGGCGAGAAGTCTAGAGCTAGAGAAGCATGTCCGAGCTAGAGAAGTCGAAGTGCAAGTCTTTCCCTCACTTCCACTCGCAGTGATCGTGCGATTGCTGAAAGTACTGGAAGCTGCGCAGCGCACCAGCAGGCCTTGTTCTTGCAGTGACTATCCACCATATGGGTAGCAGCTTGTGTGGCTTGCCCTGTCTCAGCGTTTTGTTCTTCCCCTCGAACGGCCAATCAAAGGCCTTGGGCTAAACAGGTATATATAGGTCCACCTTGTGCTTAGGAATCTCAGTGATCTTGTCCCCCTCGTTCAAGGCGGGGATCATCGCCCCAACAGTCCATGGCACAGTCCAACCCTTAGGTGGAACTTCCATGCAACTAGGAACAAGAAGCTACGTTCGGGGCTCCTGGCATCACTAATAGGAGCAAGAACGCTACCAGTAACAAGAAAGGAAGTCAGGAATTGGACATGTGAGGGGCCATCTTCTGACCAAGATGGGCTCATCGGTGCACCCAATGAAAGTGTGTCGTGCATGCCAGAGCTGCGTTCGAGAAAAGGTGTGTTCCGCTGTGGTCAAAGATCTGCTTTGCGATTGTTTCTGCAAGAAAAACGGTCTGCAACCATTTTCAACGATGACTTGCTTCTACTAGGAACAAGTGCCTTACTAGTAGTAACAGGTGCCTTACTAGTATTAACAAAAGCTATTCGGAACAAGTGCCTTACTAGTAGTAACAGGTGCGTTACTAGTATTAACAAGAAGCTATTAGGAACAAGTGCCTTACTAGTAGTAACAGGTGCCTTACTAGTATTAACAAGAAGCTATTAGGAACAAGTGCCTTACTAGTAGTAAGAGGTGCCTGACTAGTATTAACAAGAAGCTATTAGGAACAAGTGCCTTACTAGTAGTAACAGGTGCCTTACTAGTATTAACAAAAGCTATTCGGAACAAGTGCCTTACTAGTAGTAACAGGTGCCTTACTAGTATTAACAAGAAGCTATTAGGAACAAGTGCCTTACTAGTAGTAACAGGTGCCTTACTAGTATTAACAAGAAGCTATTAGGAACAAGTGCATCGCTTCCATTTTCGATGACTTGCTGGCCACAAGCTGACCGGCCCCTGCGTTTTGGGAGCGTGGTCACGCTGGTGCATGTCATTATCCTTCGGCTCAATTCACAGAACTGAAGCAGCCAAATCGAAAGCCACTGTTTTCATGGCAAGGAAACTTGCGGGCTGAAAGTCCAAATTTCCAGCTGAAACTAAAGAAGCTTCAATGAGCAGGAGCAGTCTCTGTTCCAACCTACTAGTGATGGCCTCCAACCTAAGAGCTTTGTGAAGTGTCTTGAAAAAATATGCTTTCCACTCGAACCCAGAAGCTCCACATAAAAAATGCCTATTTACACCGACCGCGACAGTCACACGGATTGGAAACTCGTATTCCATGGAATGCTGTGCCTAGGAAGCCAAGTTCACTTGTGAGAAAAAGTTCCTAGTAACGTCCTTGCTCCTAGTAGTAAGGCCAGGAGCCCCTAGAAGCTTCTTGTTACTACTAGTAAGGCACTTGTTACTAGAAGCGATGCACTTGTTCCTAGTAGCGTCCTTGCTCCTAGTAGTAAGGCCAGGAGCCCCTAGAAGCGTCCTTGCTACTAGGGTCTTCGCGAATGTGACATTGATGCGCCACCTGGCGAGAAACCGAACCCACGATGTCGGTCATTCGACCGACCCACCCCACCCAACAAACACTAGAGCTACTAGGTTGGAGGCCATCGGTAGTAGGATGGAAACCATTGCAATTAGAATTAAGTTATAATCACAAGAGTTAAGCAGAATAGAGGCGGGCTGTTGCCAGGCTTAGCCACTTAAGGCTTAGCAGCCGCTTTAAGGCACCCGCTTTAGCCCGAAAGAGCTGAAGCAGACCGAGAAAAGTTCCGAAAAGACTTCTCTTCGAGCATGGCTTTGGGCATGTCACCGGCAGGAAACCCATGGGGGGGTGCCACTGCCAGACGTGTCGCCAAATCCAAGGCGTTCTGTCGACAAAACAAAGGCTGGGGCAGGCTATGGGCTGTGCCATATAGTATGAGTTTGATCGAAACATATGTTGAACATATTGTGTTTAAAACTATTTGCAAAACTATTTTTGTCTCCTTTTGGAGGCCATCGCTATTAGGTTGGCGGCACTCGCTAGTAGGTTGGAGGGCAGAGCGGTCTTTTAATAGGTCCTTTTGAAAAATCCATCAGAAACTTTGGAATTCCCAAACGGTCTGATGCGTCTGATGCATTCTGCCTGCAAATTCGGGTTCTTTTTCGGTCAGGAAGGTTGGTAGGCGAAGGCCGGCCGAGAGAAGGAGGCTATAGCCGGCTAAGGTAGGAATTCGTAGCAGCGAAATGAAGAAAGGCGTTTTCCTTTGGCAATACCTAGTCGCTTCGAAAATTTCCTTTGTAAATACCTACAGTGGTCGCTTCGAAATCAAGCATAGCTTAGAACAGTAAATTGCTAGCTTTGGCGATCTAGCTACTAGGTTAGCTACTAGGTGAATGACAGGGACGAGGGGGACACAGATTAGCGTCCTTCGCAGAGGGGAGTTTTCGTCTTCTCTGAAGAACCCTTCGATATTTGGCTTCCGTAAACTTAGGCGTCCAAACTTCCATAGTGCGTTGGAGGCCATCTCTAGTAGGTTGATGCCCATCGCTATTAGGTTGGAGGCCATCTCTAGTAGGTTGATGGCCATCTCGAGTAGGTTGGAGGCCATCGCTGGTAGGTTGGAGCCCATCTCTAGTAGGTTGGAGGCATCGCGTAGGTTGGAGGCCATCGCTAGTAGG